TTATTAAAATATAACTTTTATTTTTAAAATATATATTTTTTTGAATAAAAAAATTATATATGTGTAAAATAGTAGTGGGGCAAATAATCTCACTTAATTGTATGTAGATCCGTCTTTATATATATATATATAATATTATGGTTGAATGAAACTCATGATGAATTCTGCTAATGTTGAATATCAACAAATCGGCTATTTGTGTTGGCCACGGATTATGCTAAAAGTATGTCTATTATATTTATGAGTTAGATATTGTTCGCAGGTTTAGGCAAGAGGCTCATCTTTCAGAACTCCATTGTTTTAGAGTGTACCCAACACTTTTTTTTTTATATAGATAGTTATATCTTTTAAGTTAGAAAAATTTATAAAATTAAAAATTTTCTTTTTTTTTCTTCACACAATTAGTAACCTAAATAATTACCTACTTCATTATTTTTCTCTTATTTTTATTTTTTAAAAAAACTCTAACAAATGAGAAATCTTCTCACAATCTTTCAATAATTACTTACTATTTACTTCATTATTTTTTGAAATATTTTACAAAGATGAAGAACCATGAAATATCTCTTCTCTACTAATTTTATATAATATAAAAAAATATTATTGAACAATTAATCGACAAGTGATATTCTTTTCTCAATAAAAATCTATCCACAATTTTTTAAAATTTATTCATAATTAATTTGTAAAAAATAATTCGATGATATTAAATCCAGTGGCAGATCGTTCAGCTGCAGCGGGTCCAAACATGGGCAAGGTGTGGAACTTTTTTGGAGGTTTCTGCCTGCTGCTGCTGCTTTTGAGCTTTTGTTGCAGGAAAAAAGTTGCTAATTAGATTAATATTAATAATAAATTTATGGTTGATTTTATAAAAATATTACAATGAAACAAGGTACCAGTTTTCCTTGCTAAAAACTATCTAATTAATTCATGATGAACATTAAATCCTCTTTCTTCCTACTTTTAATTTCATTGCATGCAAAGAGATATGATATATGAAGGAGATTGTACATATAAACACTATTTTTCAAAAGCAAAATCAACTCTCTTGTTAATCAACCCATGCAATGATTGATTTCATCATTTTTCTTTTTAGAATAGTGGATTAAGTGTAAATTAATATGAAGATCTATAGTGAATGATACCATTTTAAAATAATAGATTTGAGTGTAATTCAACTTTACAAAAGTGATTTATAAGATGAAGATTGTTCTCCATTTATATACTCTTTAATTATTTTATCTGGCATTTTCTTTGGTGCAAGTTTATTTTAGTGGGTACCAAAACTCCATGTGACTAGGACCACATAAACGATGACATGTGTTAATTTTGTCAGAACTTGTATTTTTTAAAATGTTTTAATATTTGTTATTTAACCCTCATTAATTATATTCTTTTAAATAATAGTCCCCAGCCTATTTAAATATGTTTTATCTTCTTCATTTCTCTACCTTTTCATTTTCATTTTTCAATCTTCTCTCTAGCGCATATCTGGCTCCGGTACTCTCCCTACCAAAAGCTCCATCAAAGACGATAACTTTTCGTGTACCCTTCGTTCCTACCCTTTTCAGTTTCATTTTTCCTCTTCTCTCTGGCGCTTCTTCTTGCAAGCACCTCTAATTTTTTGTTGTTTTTTGTTTCCGATCACCTCCCATTCTCTGGTCTCCGGTGCTCCAAAAAACAACAAAAAGTCAGAGGTGCTTGCAAGAATATGCGACAGAGAGAAGAGGAAAAATGAAAATGAAAAGGGTAGGAACGGAGGGTACACGGGAAAGTTACCGTCTTTGATGAAGTTTTTGGTAGGGAGAGCATCAGAGCCAGAGATGCGCCAGAAAGAAGACGAAAAATGAAAATGAAAAGGGTAGGAATGAAGGGTACACAAGAAAGTTACTATCTTTGATAGAGATTTTGGTAGGGAGAGCAACGGAGCCAGAGATGCGCCAGAGAGAAGATTGAAAAATGAAAATGAAAAGATAGGAAAATGAAGAAGATAAAGCATATTTAAATAAGTTGGGGACTATTATTTAAAAGAATATAATTAATAAGGGTTAAATAAAAAGTATTAAAACATTCTTAAAAAATACAAATTCTGACAAAATTAATACATGTCATCATTTATGTAATCCTAGTCACAGAAAATTTTGGTACTCCTAAAATAAACTTGCACTAAAGGAAATGTCATCTTATCTCTTGTTGTATGACTTGAGTATTTTCCGATATTTGCATAGTAGATAGCACAGGAAACTAATAACCACAATGACTCACACCGGAACTTCAACTTCAACTTCCAATGACCGTTTCCATGAACTGAAAGCCTTCGACGAATCCTGTAACATTGAAAAAAAAAAAAAAAAAAGAGAGAGGCTGATTGAGTAGCCAGAACGGGCCGTTCCCAAACTGGAACGGGCCGTTCCACACTACTGAATTGAACTACATATTGTAGCTGAGAACGGGCCGTTCCGGGAAGGAGAACGGGCCGTTCCAGGAAGGAGAACGGGTCGTTCCGGAGGGAGAACAGGCCGTTCCGGAGCCCACCCACGACATTAGCTAGCTCAATTAAGCCACATATGGGATTAGTCTACTGACTATTCTCCAAATACTACAACCCTCCGATACTCGGTTAGGAACTAAGTTCCCGACTTCGAACTTTACTCGAATTGGCCGCTTGTAATCAGTATAGCTCGACCTTGCCCCTATACCATGGTTTCTTCATACACGCGTGCCTCAACTTTGCTCACACACAGTATCAACTAATTCCTAGAGGAGAACAACACATCATCCACTCCAAGGGACAACTTCCCAAGGAGGGTTTTTCAACAAACTGGGCGTTTAGAGCACCATAACACTCTCAATATTAACACAATGGGATGAGCAACTTCAAAAACATCTCCTCTAGTCTTAGTGATCAACAAATCATCATCACAACACAACAACACAATTATCATCTCATCAACTCAACTATCAACTCATTTCAACTTTAAACAACACAGTCAACTCCACAGCTTAAAAGCTCAACTCACAATTTACAACTTGTTATCTCGTTTGACAAGTGTACCAAATCGTATAAGTAGTTCAATGAAAGTATGAGTATCGTCTCCCAAGAGACTTGCGCAACACTTTGCAATTTCACTTGTTATACTAACTAAGCTACCGAAGAGCAATAAGAGTTTGATTTGCTGTAGTAAATAATGTAAACAAGCAATAACAATTCTTTTTGGTATTTTGGTAAACACTTAGAGTGCAAAACTTTATTCTAATGCAATATTTATAAATTGTTGGGGTTTAACTTCACTAAACCTTCCTCTCATGCTTATCACTAAGTTCACAATAGTTATTATTCAGAATTTTATCAATCACTCTCAAAAGTAACCAACCCTAATCTCTTACAAGTTGGCATCTAAGTTGCTAGCTTAAACTATCAATCTTTTGCATAGTTTAACCAAGAAACCAGCTTTAAAAACAAGAGCTTAAGAAAGACCAATGGCATTTACTCTATCTCTAGCAATAAGCACCATTAGCTGCTCTATTTCAAGTCAAAGGTTTAAAATCATTTCTCAATCTCTTAAAAACCTTAAGTTCAAGTTAAGGGTGATCAAGCCATAACAAGCATTATGCACAGAAAAAGAGCAATAAAACTGAATAACAACTTAGATTGATAGCTTAGAGTTTACA